CACACACACACACACACACACACACACACACACACACACACGCTCTGCCACTGGGTTACACTCATAGCCAAAAGAGCTACTCTTATTTGGCCCAGCCACTGGAAAACCTGGCTCCTGACTGGTGGACCTCCTGACAGTGTGCAGCTGCAGCCCACATGCCTCAGGCCAGAGGAGATGAGAGCCTCCCTGCCCGTGATGCGCAGGCTGAGGTCAGAAGAGGGGGCACTGGCAGAGTTGTCCTCCTCACCCTCCCGTCTCCTCCAGAGAGCAGCTCCCGACCTTCTTGGCCACTCCAGGGCTCAGGACAGAAAAGAAAAAGGCTTCCTGACCCCTGTCCTATATCCCCTGCAAGAGTCCCAACTTCAAGCCAGAGGAATACAGTACAACCAAGATCTCTTGTAGGCCCCAGTAATCCCGGGGCCCAGTGGATGCTCCTCATTTCACAGACGAACCAGCTAGGATTCAGAAACACCTCTCACTGAACCACTCTGCCTGCCCCTGCTTCCTCCCAGCCAATCTGCTTCCAGGGGACGCACCAGGGCACTGTGCCCACATTTGCCCACACCCCACTCAGTCTTGTCCTCAACCACCCGCCCGCCCGTCCCTGTCACAGCCCAGCCTCAATTCTTCTCCCTGCAGCTGGCACTGGTCACCATGGCAACGGGTTGTTTGGGAAGCCGCAGGATGACAGGCTGCGCCGCAGAGTCAGGGATGGGCCCTGGAGGACAGAATGGCTGTGAGCTGCTTCAAGTCAAGCCAGGCAGGACCTGGCTCCACCGCCACGCTCCAAAACAGCCGCCCCCAAATGTCACAGACCCAGGAAGCCCAGTTCCGGACTTCTGGTCTCCGTGAACCATCTGAAGTGGGGAGAAACCAGATGAACCAGGATGTCCGTCCCAGCATTACCCACAGCACGACAAAATATGTCCTACGTCAATGACAGGTGATGTGCCACAGCATTTTCCTTGTACCACGCTCTGTGTTAAATGCCAACGTGTGTCATCTCATGTAGTCCTCACAGTCACCCCGTGAGAGAAGGAGCTTCAATCCTCACGTTTTGCACATAAGGGAATTATGCCTGGAAGGGTGAAGGCACTTGCCTAGGTCATTTGATAGTGACAAAGCCACTACCGAATGCCAGCCTGTCCACCGTGCGGGCTCTGCTCTCCTCCCTGCAGCAGCTGGAAAGAGGAAGAGGAAGTCCCAGCCCGTCCTCTCATCCTGACAGCGCCTGTGGCCGTGACAAATATGTCTATAGGCAGCTATGACGCAGGGTTCAGGAAAAGCAAGAATCCAGCTGAACAATGTGTACCAACTTGGAAAGATCCTGAAATACTATAGAGCTTAAAAAACAAAGCACAAGCCCCGGAACAACAGGCCATAGCATAAGCCTATTCATATACAGAAAGGCCCAATGTTCAGATGTTTATATCTGTACAGAATTTCACACCAAGGGCACTGGAAGGACACAAGCCATGAACAGCAGTTATCTCCGGACAAAGGGCAACATGCCCAGGGGGGACTAAAAGGGTCTTCCTCACTCTTTGATGATAGCAAAGTAATTAGGAGCCAAGCATGATGGTGCACACCTGTAATCGCAGCACTTTGGGAGGCTGAGGCAGGAAGAACACAAGTTCATGCACAGCCTGGGCACCCTAGCAGGATTCTGTCTAAAAATAAAAAACGATGGATGTGAGGGTGACCTGGCTTGACAACATCTGTCACCCCAGTGACCACCAGGGTTGATTCGGCTGATCTGGCTGGTGAGGCGGGTGTTCCCTTCCCCAGTCATGGCTCCACATGTGTCCCTCCCAAAGCTGCGCATGCTCTGTGGAAGGGACAACCTTCCCTGATAGAGGGTGACCATTTCCTCAGTCCAAGGTATACAAGCAGCTGCCCTCCTTGGCTAGAACCTCCAAGGAAGTTCTCAAAATAAAAACTAACAAAGGGCTGGGGATGTAGCTCAGTGCAAAGATCCTGGGTTCACCCAGTACCGCCCCCAAAAAAGTTTTTAATTAAAAAAAAAGAAGTTATAAAATTTGACACATAGGATCCCAATTCTAGGTTTAAAAAGGAGATCTATACACATAGGAAAAAGACGGAAGAAAGGGTTCCTACCAAACTGTCTGCAGGAGTGAGTGCTGAGTGGTGGCTCATGGGGCTGGTTATCTCATCCTTATCTTCTGTGACCTGTGCATATGACTTTTTAAAGATTAATGCTTTTGAGCAATATTTACAAGGACGATACAGTCACGTTCCTATATAACTAGTACAAATGGTAATAAACACACAGGAAACTCATTGGTTCCTATCCCAGCTCTACTAATTCTGTTTAGCCTTAATCAGTCATTTCACTTCTTGGAGCCTCAGTGTCCACACCCAGGGAAATGGGTGCATACCAATAGCATCTACCTCCTAGAGCTGTTACAAAGACTGAAGCCAAAGTGCTTAGCACAACACCAGCCCGTGGGAGGCATGCTGGGTGTTCTCACCACCGTGCTTAGGATGTGTTAGACACACAAGCCAGCAACACAGGAAAGTCTCAAGATAGACTGCCAGGGTTTGTGTGCTGGCTGTCACTTGTCTGCTGTGTGTCCCTGGATCTGTTACCTTACCTCTCTGGGTTTCATGTGACGATGATACCCAAAACACCTACCATGTAATATATGCTCCACAAATGTGAAAAGAATTCAACTCTGTGGAAAACACCAACCATACACTGTGCCACCCTCCAGCTTCTCTGCGTAGATGGGTTGGATGTGATTAACAAAATAATCCATACTATAAGCAGAAGATCAACAGAAAGGGAGGCAGTAGGGATAGGGAACACGGCCAGGCTCTCATTCCAAGGCTGGGCGAGCCTGTAGAAGTTTGTTAACTTCACTGAGCCTCAGTCTCCCCATCCGGTATGGGGCTGGTGCCTTTTAAGTCAAAGGCTAACGCTAAAGGAAGAGCAAATTAACATAAATTAAGCAACGTACTTTGTGCAGCATGCCATGCTAGGCACGTTACACTGTAAGCTCATTTAATCCTCCAAACAGCCCTATTGAGCTGGCATTAGTATTTCCCTTTTTACAGATGAGGAAACTTAAAAGAGAGTTTAAAATATCTCAAGGTAGGTCTTTCGGCTAGGAAGTAAGCAGAAGCAAGATGTGAACCCTGGACTCACCGGCTTCAAAACACCCTCACAAAAATTTAGTAAATACAGCTGATCTTCTCTTTCCAGACTTGGTGGGCATCAATTTACAGGAAATAAGCATGAGAGATAATGTTCATCAAGAGTCCGTCTAGCTCAGCTCTATTAAATTCCACGGCCAAGCAAGGAGTTGAGACTGGTGGCCTGGCCCTTTCTGTCTCAAACTCTTGGACTCAACTTACCCATCTGGGACATCCTTCTGGGCTGGCTTCCTCCAGCTCACCCTGGCAGGGGTTGTCCGAACTTCCGTCCGCGGGCTGCTCTTGCGCACAGGATGCTGGGTCCCTCCTTAGCTTCTTAGCACACCTATCTCTTTTCTGCCACGAAAATGGGCCTGCGCAAGCCTTGCTGGCAGTGGCCTCCAGGGAGGAGCTAAGGCTGCCCAAGGGCTCCGGGGAGCAGGCATGCATGTCAGAGGGCACAGCAAGTCCTCGCCCCAGGTTCTCCCTGGACGCCAGCTGGGCCTCAGCCTCTGGCCCGCGCTGGCCATGTGGAGCATCAGGGCCCTCCTCACTGCCAGCCCCCGCCCTACGCTCCACTTCTGGCTGTTCTGCGGAAGCCCATCCCAGCATCCCTTGGTGCGGTGCAGTGCACCCCGAGGAGTCCTGTGTGGCCGGCCTGTGGGACTCTGCCGCACAGAGTCTGCCAGGGCCCAGGGGTCCGCTTGGCTGGGCCCCACACCCTGCAGCAGGCAAACATTCAAGCCCCGCAGCTCCTGAACCACATCCTGCCTGACTTCCACCTGGATCTCCGAGCCTTGCGTCCGCATGACACACACGCCTGCAGGGGCCTCCTAAGGACGTCAGGTCAGCACCTGCGAGGGCGCCTCCTAAAGACTGGCTCTCGCTACCAGGGCTCTGATCAACCCACAAGAAGCCACCAGCCTCCTGCCCACCCTTGGAACAGGACCTGGACTTCCTGCTTTTCCTCCTTGCCCTCACAGGAGCTGGGTCCGGGGAGGATGGCAGGACCCTTTCAGAGAAACCCTCTTTGTTTGGCATGGAGCTTGTTCCCTCCCCACCTGGGGCACTCATCCCCAGGCCTCCCACCTCTGTGGGCCTGGGGCAGCTGGTCGGTCTCACTTCTGCTGGCCCCTCCATGCCCACCAGGGCTCTCTTTGGGAGACCAGGCAAAGGGCTACCAAGGTTTCCGAGGCATCTGGTAGTTAGAATGTCACACAGAGAGACTTGGAGCCTCCTGGAGCACCTAGCACTCCCCTGCACAGGCCCAGGGAGCAGCTGGCTGGGACTCTGCCCTGCAGCCTGCGGCTCCAACTCCCCCAGGCTGGCCCCAGCAGCACCCCCAGCCGGCAGGCTGGCGCCTGGATGGGTCACCTCCTTGCGGACTCTCTTCCTGCTCGGAGCCCGACCCTGGGCCTCTGATTTCACTCCTGGCATGGAGCTGGCTCCTACCACGTCCTCCTGGAAAAGCACACCTCTGTGTTGAGACCGGAAAACAGGGTCCTCTGTGCTGGAGCTGCCCGCAGCCCCCTCCTGGGACATGTCTGTGCACCCGCCTGGGCCAAAAGCAGAACGGAGGCCTGTGTGGAGACAGAGGCAGGAGACCTCATCACAAAGGGGCTGACCGGCCAGCCCGCCTAGGACAGCAGTGGGACCTGGTGCCAGGGGAGGGAGGAGAGGCCACCCCCAGCCAGACTGCGCCTCAGGACGGTAAGGTCTTCCCCTGAGGGCTGATATTTTTGTTTAAACAGAATGTAACAGTTACTACTTATTACTGACTGGCTTATCCCCATTATTTCATTTCCTGCCGGCAGATTTAAAGATGTTAAGCGACTCACTCCAGGACACACAGAAGCGGAAGAACCGGGATTCTCTCCCAATCCAAAAGCCCAGTTCTAAACCGCTCCACGTGGGGCGGACACTAAATAGGTTCATACCCTCCATCCCACTCCCCTCCTTTCCATGCTGACAGCCTACTCAGGGAACCCTGGCTGCAGTCATTCTCACCTGGGCCTCCACCCTCCCCCTGCTAGTGCTCCACCCCAAGCGAGAGGGGCCTCTTCACGTGATGCGTGGGCCTTGTGGAGGGCGGAGCCCTGGTGCGGCGCAAAGAGCGGCTCTCCTGGGGTACTAACTTTCCCTCTCCAGCAGAGGGCGCTCTAACCTGCAGGAGGGCTTCCCAGAGGAGGTGCCAATCACTCCAGAATCCGATTCTTGATGGCAAAGGGCCTTGAATGCCTGTCTGAGAGTTTAAACTGGATCCTATGGAGGTAGTTCCTAGCATTATTCATTTATGTATGCTGTCTCTCTTGGTCAGTCTATCAAGAGTTTTTCTTTCTTTCTTTTTTTTTTTTTAAAGAAGTAGATGTTTATTTTGCTTCTTTGTCTTTTATCATCCATACATTTTCTAATTCATTATCTTCTATTCTTACCTTTCTCATTTACTTCTCCCACTTTCTTTGGTTTCCTCTTGTTCTTTTAATTCTTTCTTGACCTTAATGAAATATCAGCTCCTTTAGAACACTCTTTCTCCAACCCTGCATGGTCCAGCAGCACCAGTGGTACCAGCAGGAGTGGCCTGGCAGCAGCAGGACACTGTTTCCCAACGGGCCCTGCAGACCCAACAGGTGGCATCAAGCTACCAAAGTGAACACTGCATACAAGTTCCTAGTATATGTTGGATTTTGTTACATAACTGTAGAGCTTGCTCTTAAGGTTAAAGTTGCCAAGTTAATAGTTACCACAGTTGGTCAGTTGCTAGGCTGTGCTGGGTGTTATTGTTATTGATAACTGTACTATTTTAGCCAGGATGTCATGCATATTGTAATCAGTTTTTCTCCCTCATATGACAATAGTGTGACTGCCTGGGGTAATAATCATTACCATAGTCCAGTATGAAAAGGCAGGATGCAGGGCCAACTAGATAGCAACCTCCCATCCTTAATACATTGGGAAGGTAGTTTTTTAGGATAGACATAAAGATCAGTAACCACGTACACCTAGAAGACATCTTTGAGGAATAGACATTTTTTAAGGAAGCCATGATACTAGTGATAGAACTCTCTGCCATAAGAAATCTACAACCACCAATGTAGAAAATAAAACAAAATAAAAAATAGAAAACGGAAAAAAATCAATAAATGTAATACACCATCTCGACAGAATCAAAGACAAAAATCACATGATCATCTCAATAGATGCAGAAAAACATTTGACAAAGTCCAACACTCATTCATGAAAAAAACACTACAGAAAATAGGAAGAGAGGGTCTCTATCACAATCTGATAAAAGCCATCTGTAACAAACATAGGCAACACCTAACTAAATGGTCAAAAACTGAAAATTTTCACTTTAAAATCAGGCACAAGACAAGGATATCCACTATCACCATTCCTACTCAGTATAGACCTGGAAACATTACCCAGAGTAATTAGACAAGAAAAAGAAATAAAAGGAATAAGGATAGGAAAGGAAGAAGTTAAATTATCATTATCTGCAGATGTCATGATACTCTACAGAGAAGATCCCAAAAAACTCCACCAAAAGACTTGTAAATTTAATAACCAAATTCAGTAGCATAGCTGGATACAAAGTCAACACTCAAAAATCAATAACCTTCCTGTACACAAATAACAAACTCACCGAGAGAGAAATTAGGAAAATTACACCCTTCACAATAGCATTTAAAGAATGAAATACTTAGGAATCAATCTAACAAAGAAAGTAAAAGCTCTCTACATTAATAATTACAGTACTCTGGAAAAGGAGACTGAGGAAGATATCAGAAAATGGAATGAGGGGCTAGGGATTTAGCTCAGTGGCACAGTGCCTGCCTGGCAAGCACAAGGTTGTGAGTTCAATTCCCAGTACTGGAAAAAAAAAAAAAAAGGAAATGGAATGATCCCTTGCTCATGGGAAGAACCAACATAGTAAAAATTCTATACAGATTTAATGCAATCCCAATCAAAATACCATTAGTATACCTCACAGAACTAGATAAAATTGATTTGGAACCAGAGAGGCCAGAATAGCAAAAACAATCCTAGGCAACAAAGGCAAGGTACTGAGCTTCACAATCCCTGACTTGAAATTATACTACAAAGCTACCATGATAAAAACAGCATGATTCTGGCAAACAACACCAACGACAGACTGAGGATCAATGGAACAGGTTAGAAGATACAGAAACAACTCACCCACCTTATCTTTGACAAAGATGCCAAACACCTTCACAGGAAGAAAGACAGCCTCTTTAATAAACGGTGCTGGGAAAACTGGCTTTCCACATGCCAAAGACTAAAACTAGACCCATGTCTCCCACTATGCACTAAAATGAAATTGAAATGGATCAAAGATCTAAATATTAAGACAGAAACACTAAATCTGCTGAGAGAGAACACTTGAAGACACAAATGTAGGCAAAGATCTCATGAATAAAACCCTGATCACATGGCAAATACGACAAAGAGTCAACAATTGGGATCTCATCCTATCTTTTGCATGGAAAAAGGAATCACCAATAGACTGAAAAGAAAACCCACAGGGTGGTTAAAAAACAAAACAAAACAAAAAAAACAAAAACAAAAAAAAAAAACACCTTTTAACCAGTTGTCCCTCAGACAAAGGACTAATGTCTAGAACATATAAAGAACTGAAAAAAATCAGACTCCCCCAAATTTAAAGACCTAATCCAAAAATTGGGTACCTAAGATGAATACACATTTCTCAGAGGAAGAAATACAACTGGAGGATAAATATATGAAAAAAATGTTCAACAACACCGAGAGATGCAAATTAAATTTACAACAATGAAAATCAAAAGAATGCTGAGATTTCATCGCACTCCAGAAAGAATTGCAGTTATTGAGAAATCAATTAATACCAAATGCTGGTGGGATATTGGGGAAAAAGGAGCTCCACTGTTGGTGGGAGTGTAGACTGGTGCAGCCACTGTGGAAATTAGTGTGGAGATTCCTCAGAAAACTAGGATTAGAGGTCCCCTTTGACCCAGCAATTCCCTTGCTGGGTATCTTTCCAGAAGAATTAAAAACATCATATCACAGCAATATATGTGCACCCATGTTTGTAGAAGCATAGTTTGTGATAGCTAAATCTTGGAAATAACCCAATGCCCATCAACCAAGGAATGGGTAAAAAAGATGTGGGGTTTTTTTTTTAATACAATGGAGTACTACCCAGCCATAAAGAGGGATAAACTTGAGACATTCTTAGGTAAGTGGATGCACCTTGAGACTACGTGTTTAACTGAAATAAACTGGACACGTGTAAATATTGCATTGTTTCTATGGTGTGAGAAACAGAAAGAGTAAATAAGGATCAAAGTGTATAGTAGGTATTGTGAAATAGGAAGAAATTGCTCGGAAGAAAAGGGAACTAGGGAGGGGTGGGGGGAAAGGAAGAAAGGGAAAAGGAAAAAAGGATAAAAGAAAGATAAAGTGGAAACAAAACTTTGTAAACGAGGAGGGGAAGAGGGATTGAAGGGAGGGGATTGGAAAAAAATGAACCAGGTTATAATCATGCATAGGTACAAATTCTCGATGATGAATATGATCATTATGTATATCTAAACTGTACCAGTAAACTTTTGCTTTTGTTTTTGTTTTTTTTTGTCTTTTCTCCCGGTACCAGGAATTGAACTCACGACCTTGCGCTTGCCAGGCAGGTGCTTTACCACTGAGCTAAATCCCCAGCCCCTGTACCAGTAAACTTAATTTAAAAAATAATGACAGAATCCCAAGATGTGATTGGTCAAAAGATGTTAAGACGTTGGTAATGTGCCTATTAAAA